TTGAGGGGGGGCAAGGAACAGTCTGTATCAGTATTGGGATCTCTCCTCTGCCCTCCTGCATTTTAGTCAAGGGAGGGGTCACCTCAGAGGAGGAGGGATAAAGGGGAGATGGTGAGGAGGCCAGGGGCCACTTGAACCTGTGGGTGTGAACCAGAAGGTTCTGGAGCCAGTTGGGTCGCCTGTGTTAGCCCTGATGCAGGAGCAGCTGGAGGAGGATCCCAGAGAACTGACTGGCAGGAAAAAGACTTGGGGGAGCTGGTCAAGGGAAAGAGAGGCTGCTTCTCTCCCACAGAAGCTGGTGTCTTGGGGAACAGTGAGGGAGGAGCGATGCCTGAGAGCTGTGCAGGGGGGCTGGTAGACAAGGTGAGGGGAGAGGGTCAGGGAGGGGGGTGAGTCTCCCTGGGCAGGCAGGGGGTGGGAAGTGGAGCAGGGCAGGACACTGCCCTGTGAGCCAGGGCCCTGGGAGGAGCCTGGGGGCACATGGAGGGAGAGTGGGGAACAGGAGGGGCTAGTGTGATCTGAGGCTGGGTCCCCCAGCTAAGGGCTGCTCAGCCAGGGAGCTGCCCCTGGTTTTCAGTGTAATGTGGACACAGAGCCAGAGCCTCATGCTCTGGAACCTTGGTTAGGCCTCATTTCATTTGTTCCCCTTGACATTTCTTATGAGTTCTTTAAAATGCTCTACCTCCTGACTGTGAACAGGAGGGACAGTGGAGGCCATTTCTCCTGTGGTCTCTGGGGAGGTGGATACAGAAGTGCATGCGGGTGTCCCTGGAGGGGTGTCCCTGGTAGAGAACCCACACCTCAGCTCCTGGGAGCCCCCACCCCCCAAGCCAAGGAGCTCTGCCTGTCCCTGGAGACCCAGCCAGCAGTGGAGATGGGGATCCCTGGTTCTGCAGGCCCCACAGTGGCTGGGCCATGACTTTGCCCCAGTGCCCCCTCAGCTGCCCCCCCACAGACACAGCCCCTCCTCACAAGGCTGCAGGGAGCAGCTCAGGGGAACCTGCTTCCCCCTGACACCCCTCTCCCCTTCTTCTCCTCCCTCTGCCTCACTGGGCTGGGCAAGACAGGGTCTCCATGGGGGACAATCTCCTCACTCAGGACTGGGCTCTCTCAGAAGACACTGGGGGAGCTGTGGGCTCCCCTCCCTCCCTGGGGTTCAGCCTTGAGCACCCCCCTCGGGCTCTGAGCCCCAGGCCCTTGCTGTGTCAGGGTCTCCTCAGCAGGAAGAGGCTCTCAGGGCAGGAGCTGAGCAGCAGGTGCAGCTTGTTCCAGGGAGTGTGGGTTCCCCTGGGGAGTCAGGGCTGGAGCTGGAGCTAATTCTCAGCACCTCTGTCATTGCACCTCTGTCATTGTCAGAAGCAGCCTCTGCTCCCTCCCTCCTGGGTGTGTCACACCCCTTGGGTGTGACAGAGGTTCTGGTCACTTGCTCTGTGATGTTCTCCAGCTCACCCTGTGTCCTGTCAGATGACAGACTATGGCGCTAAGCCTCACTTGGGCAAGACATATTTATCTTTCCTCAAGATGCATATGGCAGGTTGTCAATAAATACTCACTGACAGGTGAGTGTCAGAATTGAGTCCTAAACCTTCCAGTAGGGGATCCCTGGTAAAAAGGGAGGGACAGGTTAAGGAGAAATGCTTCTGGTTTCAGGGTGCAGGGGTGTGTGTGTGTGTGTGTGTGTGTGTGTGTGTTCCATGAAAGGGGTGACGACCCCCCCCCCCCCCCCCTCAGGGCTCAATGCAGCTGTGAGATTGGGGCTCATGAGGGACAGACCCAGAGGTGAAGCTTGGCTGGACAGAGATGCTGACTGTGTCCCCTGCTGCCCTGTGGGAATCAGTTTTTCATTGTTGAAAATGAACACAAAGAAGAGCTCAGTCTCCAGTGAGTGAATAAGCAGGTGAATTACTTCTCACCACCCCAGGACCCTCCCAGCCTGCCTGGGGACCATTGATTTCCATCACCACAGATTTGTTTTGCCTGTTCTTTGTATCTAGAATTCTGCATGGACTGTGTGGGTGTATGTGTGTGGTTCCTGCTCTTCTGTCCAAATTTCCAAGGATGACATCTGAATCATCCTTTCCCTCTCACTGTCCACCCTGAACTTGCCACGAGGGGGCAGCAGAGCCTCATGGAACCTGGAGACCAGCCTAGGGGCGTTTTTATTGGCCCCTGGGTTCCTCCCCCACCAAGTAGCCTCTCTGTCCGGTGTGCCAAGGCAGGAGCTGCAGGATGGCCCTGCTTCCCTCTGGGACCTGCTGCTTCAGAGACCCTCAGGGGTGGGGGTTTGGAGCTGGGATCTTAATTTTTTTTTTTTTTCCAAAGGTTGATTTATGCATACAAGAACTTGGGAACAGGCCAGAGATGCAGGTGGTGTGTGAGAGGGTTTACCAGAGACATAGTGGGGAGCAGAACAGGCAGATTGACTGAAATACACTGCTGAGGGGAGCTGCAGGTGAGATAGGAGAGGTCTGCTTTGCCATTTGGATATTCCTAGGCCAGGGATCAAACTCGTGATGCAAAGGCTGCGGATAGCTTCACAGATTGTGTCTTAACCCCCTGCACCACCAGGGAGGCACAAGGAGGGAAACTTAAAGTAGCAATTATAGCCGTCTCTGTGTGTGTGTGTGCATGTGTGTGTCTTTCTTTTACTTTTCAATTCCTTCTGGGGAAGCACCCTACTCCAACCAACCTGAAACTACGAAGTCTGAAAAATGACTGTAAACTTTTTGTTGCAAGAGAAAATAACCCTGTGAACCTTTAATTTTAACAATGTCCAGAGAAATTAAGCTTTAATGTTAAAGAAAGGGGGTTTAGTCCTTCCAACCAAAAGTTGATTTTAAAATCATTATTCTTTAAACATTTGCCATTGTCTTTTGGCTAATTTAGGTATTTACCAGAAAGAACTTCAAAGCGCTTGAAGCAATTAAAAGATTAGTGGTATCATATGTCTTTAAAAAAGAGTAAATTATTAACCCATCAGCCATGGGACAATTTATTTTTGAGCAAGACAGTTCAGTGAGTTACCCCCAGTGACTTTTGACAAAGCAGCAGGAACAGGCCTTGAGGAGCTGGAGAGGCAGTGAGGGGGGTGTTTGTCCTTCCTGCAGGGTGTCCTGTGTCCCCCAGTGTTGTTCAGGGACACATGCCCTGTGCTCTGTCCCTCCTCCTTCCCCTCCCAACATGGACCCAAGGGCAGCATTCAGGGGGAGATGAGGTTTCTGGGTGTGTCCTCCTGGGCATTTGGAGGTCCCCTTCCTATTCCCCTCCCCCTGAGGGGTGTGGAGGTGGGGACTGGGCTGAGAGCTGGGGTGGGGGTGGGGCACATCCTGTAGTTGCAGCCCCTCCCCCCAGGAAGGTCCTGGATCATGTCCCTACACAGAGGGCAGGACTCAGGCGCCTTCATCTCTGTCTGTGCAGCCCAGCTCCTGGCACTTAGGTGCTCAGTACAGTGCTTTTGTCCCATCTGATTCTTCACCAAATACTCTTAATGCCTTTAGGCCTTGAGAATTGTCCCTACTGGAGAGGGATTGGTGATGTTTGAGGGGCTAAATATGGAAGAGAGAATTATTCCTTGTCTCTATATTTATTTTCAAATTCAGCTGGATATTCCAAGATGGACTCTAAGTCAAGATGATCATAAATTAAATTTTTTTTTTATCTCAATAGGATGCAAGCACTGGGTACAGTCAGAAGTGTGGGATGTTTCAGAGAATATACAGAAGCATCTTGAGCTTTTAATATGTCAGATAAGACTTCAGGCAGAAAACCAAGTATTTCTGGCATCAGGGTCAGTCAGTCTGGCCATGAAGACAGACATGGGAGGCCCCTCAAGAGAAGGAGAATGAGCCCTGGCAGGGACAGTCCTGCTGCTGTGAGGCTGTGGCTCTGTGAGGAGTCGGGTCCCTGGTGTGTAGAACGTGCTGTGAAGTCCACAACCCGGCAGGAGTGTGGTGAGGGCCTCGGTAACCAGGTAGTGACTCTGGGGACTGAGCCTTGGGAGAATCTGGGGGCAGACACAGGTGCTGCCCTGAATGATTCCAGCTCAGTGAGATGTGATTAGTGACCCAGTTGTATTTGGGTGGATAGAATAGCAGACAGGGGAGCATGGTGGACACTGTGTCTATCAGAGGATGGTGCTCAGGTCAGAGGTGACGTCTCGTGTTCTCAGTGGACCAAGGGGTTTTCTGAGTGGACAAGGCTGAGGGGCCGAGGGTCAGCAACAGTGTCTCCTCTGCAGACAAGCTCAGCTGAGGCTGGTGAGGCCCCTCACTGCTGGACACAGAGTAGGACTCACAGGGCCAACTCCTGGGATCCCACATGGTTCCCAGATGATACACGTCCGGGCTGGGGTGGAGGACAGGACCCCAAGCCCAATAAGCAGGTGTGGGGTGCACAAGTGGGATCAGGAGGTTGGCAGAGGCTTCTCTGAGCTGGTCACTTCAGGGGAGGCCAGAAAGGTGAGGGCTTGGGGAGCAGACGCAGCAGGAGCTTCATGGACTGTGAGGAGGCCTGAGGCTGAGAGAGCTCCCTGAATTGGAGGAGTCACCTGAGCCAGAGGGGGGCCCTGGGAGAGAAATGGGAGGGGGTCAGAGAGGAATGGGGAGACCTGGGAGCCCCTCCATTAAGCAGAGGGATCCCCTGAGGGATGAGACAGGGAGTTGACATGAGCTGACTGAACAGGATCATGGTCTTGGAAGGAAATGGACTGGGAGAGGTGAGGCTGGAGGTGGAGTGGTGTGACCCTTGGGCCAGGTGAGAAAGGAGGGTGATGTGGAATAGGTGCTGGTCATGGACATGAATTGAACATTTGGGTGCATTGGAAGAAGACTGGGTGGGGGGGGTGGATCGTGAAGATGACCCTGGAGTTTGTGGCAGAGATAACTGGGTGGGCACCAGGGGAAACTCACCTTCACTGAGGAGGGGAAACCACAGGAAGTGAGGGGTGAGGGGAGGCCCAGGCCCCCCTCGGTTTCCTTGGAGACATAGAACTAGGACTTCCTGGTAACCCTGTATCCTGGAGGGACAGGATCTGGTCACTGTGACCAGGTCTCAGGTGACATTAACATCTGAACGAGCCGCAGGACCCGTCCACACAGTGTTGGCAGGACCAGGTCCTGGCAGCTCTTGGTGCCCAGTGCTGACTCCTGGGGTCCAGGGTGAGGATCTCCTGGGTCAGCTGCTCTGAGGAGAAGAGATCAGCCTCCCTGGGGGCTCCTCACTGGCCCTGCCATGTGAGGTGACCTCTGCCATGAGGTCACTGGGGTGATCAACATTGGGCACAGGCAGAGCCCTACTTGGGGAGAGTGTCAGTCCTGATGATGGGAAAATATATTATTGAGCCATTGGCTTAAGAGGACACATAGTGTGCGGGGGGAGGGAGAGCCACTGGAGGGGAAGCGCACTCCGCTGAGGACCTTAGGCTGGTCTCTGACTTGGTTGCTCCTGCCCAGCCCCCATGATGCCTTCCTGGCCAGACTTCCAAAGGACTGAGTGAGGCAGGACTTTGTGCCCGAGGTTGGATCAGGTAGGTCCCTGGACTTTGGCTCCCATGTGGCCTGCCCAGAGTGCTGGAAGGAGAGGCTGATCACCTCTTGGGGAGACCTCGAGGGTCTCATGACGTTTTGGTCGGGAACTTGGAGCTCCCATAAAGGCAGGGATGGGATGGTTATAACCTTCGGGATGTGTGTGTGTGAGAGAAAGAGAGCGGTGTGTGTGTGTGAAATGTCCACAGCTGCAGCTGCGGAGACACATTGGGCTTTACCTGTGGTTCTGTCCACAACTCATATAGCTCAATGTTCCTCTAATGTCTGGACTTGTCAAAATCTCTGAGAGGGGGACGGTCAGGGAAGCATCTGTGTGCTCCCCCTTCCCTCGCTGCAACATCAAATAAATGGGAGGGAATTGGAGCAAACAGACGGTCCTGGAGACCGTGCTTAAAAAAAAAAAAAAAGGAAACTCATAGGGAATTTTCTGCCCCACTTTCTTTAAAACCTAAGGGACTGTCTTACAAATATAACTTGAGAAATGTTTTCCTCTCTGAAGGAGGGAGTTAAAAATATTTAAAAATAAATTAATAATTGTCAGTGTTGTCAGAAATTTTGGTAAAATAACTCTCTCTAAAAGTTAGTGCAAAGGGCCAAATTCTAAATGGACGAGATCTCTGTGTCTGTGTCTTTGCCTTTGCGTCTTTTGTCTCTGGAGGTTGCTGTGTTAAAATTATTACAAATGGCGCCTATATTAAATTCTAATAGAAAAAAACAAATTTTGAGATCGCGATCTGAAATTTTTGGTAAACAAATTAGTTCAAAATGCAATGGTTTAATTAAAGCATACATGTTTTAAATTTATAATGTTGGCAGTTAATAATTCTATTGTACAATTAAATGTGTTTATTTGAAAAAAAAAAGCAAACTTGTTTGTCTTAACAAGTTTGTCTTTCCTGTATTTCTCCCAATCCCCCTTGTTTGATACAGGTGCTGCCCTGTGAGAAACCCACAAGGGCATCAAAGGGGGAAATGATGTCCAAGGAGAAGGGGGTTAAACAGCAGAACCAGCTGGCACCTACCCGTCTCTGTGCTGATCTCTCTCTCTCTCTTTTTTAAAGATTTGTTTATTTATGCATACAAGAACTGGGGTACAAGCCAGTGGTGTGGAGGGGGGTGAGACAATTCACCAGAGACAGAGTGGGGAGTAGAACAGCCAGACTGACGAAATACACTGCTGAGGGGAGCAGCGGGGGAGCCAGGAGAGGTCTGCTGTGCCATGTGGGTATCTCCCTGGTGGGGGATTGAACTTGTGCTGCAGTGACTGTGGGTAGCTTCATAGGTTTGCGTCTTAACCCCTTGCACCACCAGGGAGGCCCTCTGTACTGATCTCTTAACCTTCCCCTTTGTAGACCTTGCCCATCTCCCCTTTTTTTTTCCTTAGTAGATGTCTCAGTTTCTACTCCCTTGTGTGCATCACTTCGAAGTGAAAGGGGCCTACAGGGCCTCCCCCGTGGCGCAACTGTTGAATTCTGGGTTGCGAAGCTGCCTGCACCCTCTGCAGCGCCGGTTCGATCCCCCGACGCCAGCGAAGGTCCCACATGGCTCGTATACCTCTCCTGCTGTGCCCGCTGCTCCCCTCTCAGTGTATTTCATCAGTTTGCCTGTTCTACTCTCCGCTCTGGCTCTGATGAATTCTCTCACCCTTCCACGCTTCTACTGTACCCAGTGCTTGAATAAGTAAATAAAAAACAAAAAACAAACCCAAAAAACTATGTTTTTAAAAAAAAGGGGCCTACAAACCAGAGGAAGGACACTTCAGCCAGCGGATGGACAACAGCCCCTGATCCCAAGAATCTCCCTCGCTTGAGGCTACAAATGGATCAACCCACCAGGCAGCCTTAGACATCAAGCCCTGCTCTGGCCACACTCGGGAAGCTGGTTGGTGTACGCACAGCAGAAGCTTGAGGACCTTCTACACATTTGACCTCTTGTTTGTTGTTTTTTCTGTTCCTGTAGTGACTGCCTTTGCAGTCGGCCTAGCCACGGTGGCCCCTGACCCCTGGGATTGGGAGGCACGTCTTCCTCTTGCCTTAGGTTACCTGATACTGTGTATGGACATAATTGTTTTCAAATGTTTGCTAAAATGAGCCTGCTTGCCAGAATCTTCCTACACCTGCTCCTCACCCTCCCTTCTGTATGTGAGGACTTACCTCCCAAACCACAAGTAACTGCAATGAAATCAGGGTTTGTACCCAGTCTGACAGAAGGGCCACAAAGAGCAAGGGAGATCTCTGGTCTCTGACACCCTGGGCTTCTTCTGGTCGCTCCCCACAGATGCCTGTGTCCCAGCTATGAGACATAATCAGTGTGCACAAATGGCTCTCGACTGCTCTAATGCGGCTCTTGCTTCAGATTGCTGGATTTTCTTAGGGCCAGGTCCTGCCCAGTATACGGGAGTCATACTCGACCCAGGTCTGTTCCCTCCAAAGGTATCACCTAACTCCTCCTCAAATCTTATCCTAGGTCCTGTGTCTCTGTGGGAAATGCTACAAACCCTTTGACTCACACTTCTAGGATCTGTGCCACAGATGGCCCTTACCTTGCCTGTGCTCAGGGAGTATATCATTGTGTTACCCAACACAAACAATCATGCTGTGTTGTAAATTTGATGCCTAACTTGGTTATTTTAACTAAAGAGATACACTTTCAAGGTTAAAATTCCCTCACCAGAATAAGAGTCCCCCCACCCTGAGCATCCCACTCACAGGGGCCTGCTGACTGCATCCAGAGCAGCTGAGGTAAGAGAGCCTCAAATCCATCATAAAGGGCTGGTGGCTGACTTAAGTCAAATTTGAATGTGCTCATTAGATCAGCCCTAGCCCTTCATGCCAATGTGACTCCTTGACAGCTGTAGTGCCCCAGGACAGGCAAAGACTAGACCTGCTCACTGCTGCCCAAGGAGGTATTTGTATGTCAGAGAAGAGGCCCTGCAGCCAACCAAGTAAGATTCCTCCTCCCCAGGGTTCCAGTACTCTCACCTCATAACGGCCGCTGGGTAATAATCAGGGTTCCCTTAAAAAAGGTATACAGGTGATGCCCTATAAGAAAAATAACTCAGAAGGGCATGAAGGGGGAATGATGAGAAAATACATTATTGAGCAAATGAATATAATAAAGATTCCAGCAGAACTGCCAGCCCAGGAGCAATGAACACTCCAACACAGGCATAATCATCAAGTATGCTTACATCTCTTTCCCTTTCCAGATTCATGGCCAGGCCTCAGCACTCTTAACTACAGGTTGGGCAGCCAACCAGCTGGTCTGTCTCTCCAAGGCCATCCCCGAATGCCTGCATCTTTCCCGCCTTGCCTTGCCACCCTTGTCTGGGAACTTTGCAGCAAATGGTAGTGCCTGCTGAAAAATGATGCTATCCCTGTAACAGACATGGAGACATTGGTGCATAAAAGGAACCCTTGGTCTTTAAATGGGTGCTCAGACCTTGCGGGGCTACCCAGGTCTGGGACCTCTTGCATGAGTCATTAAAGCTTCTCCTGTCCTCACCATTCCTGAAGTACTGCTTGTTTCTTACCCTCTGCTTGGGTAAAAGGTCATAATTTATTTCTACAACACTGACAGGGCCCCACACTCACCCCTAGTTCTGAGTCTGGGAGCCAAGCAGCCTGGAGCACAGAAGGTCCTCAACAGCGGGCACCTCCCCTGTGCCTGCAGGGGTATCAGGGTGCCTGCCCCTCCCCTTTTCTGGCTCCTCTGATCCTGCTGTTTCCCTGATGATAATGGGGGTGCACTGTCCAGATGGCAGGGTGGAGTCTACAGGGTGGGGTCTGCATTTCAGCTTTCACCTTCAAATAGTGTAGGAGCCAGAGAAGGGTGATTGGGTTTTCAAGAGAAAATTAGGAGGATCCCAGGGATCCCACCCCTAGTCAGAGACCCCTCAAAGAGTGGCAAATCTGCCTGTCTCCTCTCCTGGGAACAATCTTCTCTGAGCCATGAGGCCCCTTGGCACCCAGCAGGGCTCCAAGCAGCTGACAGCAGGTGCTAACACTGCAAGAAAATTTGGAGTAACACTGAAACTTCTCAAGTTCGAAGGGACGCCCTAGAAGCCCCATTTCAAAGCAGGTATGTCAGTTTTGAAGACATTTATTTTAAGAAGAAAGCGGGGAGCAGCTGGCATTAGGAGGGGTTGAGAAGGTGGTGGGGCTGGGTAGGATGGGAGGTAGCAGAGGAAATGGTCCAGCTCTAAGAGGACCCAGCACAACCTCATCGAAAGTTGTCCTTCACTTATTTTAGTCATGTGTCTGCAATATTTCCTGGGGCTGGACCCTGTTCTAGAGTTACAGGTAGTGACTCTTTAAACATAATCCATGTAATTCTCATTCCAACCTTGGTTGGGAGATGCTGATACTATTCCCATTTTTCTGGTGGGGAATGTTAGGCAAGAAGGTTAAGAGACTTGATGAAGATGGTCACACAGAGAGTGGTCAAGCCCAGAGATGATCTCAGAGTCAGCTCCAGAATCTGCCCTCCTGGACCATCACCTGCCTCCCCACAACCCCACCCAGGAGGTGGTTTGAGGGTGTTTTCTCTGACCAGGACTCATCTTCCCTTCTCTGCTGCTCTAGTCCACTGGTCCCTCCTCTGGAAGCAGAAATCCCCCCCAGAGTTAGAGAGTGCAAGGATGAAGGCCTCAGTAGGGATATGACCCAGCTCCTGCTGTGTTTGGGGCAGGACCTTGTCCTTGGCCCTGGCAGCTCAGGGCTGGGGAGGGACTGACCTTCAGGTGAATTGAACAAGCAGATAGAGCAGGAACAGGGGCCTGTGGGGAGACTCCAACTCCTTGGGGACAGTGTCATGTGTCCTGAGGCTTCTCAAGGACACCTGCACACACTGAGGGGGACGGGACCAAGAGCAAGCACTGGCCTGTCCTTCATGAGGACCTGGGTTTGGGGAGGGCCTCTGTCCTGGGGAGTCACTGGGTATGATGTTGGGGAGGGGAGGGCAGTTTGCACGACGGGCCCAGGTGCTGGGAATGGAGGGGCCTGGTGTTCTGAGCGGAGTGAGTCTGGGGTGTGGGTTTCTCGGGTTGAAAAGGGAAAGGAGGACGTTTTTCTCCAATAAACCTCATGGTCTCTAGAAGCACAGAGGCTCAGAGGCCCTAAAAAGAGCCAGGTCTGTCCTCCTTGGTCAGGGAATAAAGGGTCCCGCTCCTGTTGGTGAGGACTCTGGGCTCTGCTCCCCCCTGAGTCCAGAGCTCCTGGCTGCCCTGCTCCTCTGTGTGGGCCTGGGTGCCACCTGCCCTGTCTCTCCCCAGCCCTGAGGAAATGGCGACCTGCTCCTGCCCCAGCTCTGTGCTCTGCCTCCTCCCCTCCCTGCTGCTCCTCCTCCAGCTGCCCCCCGGGGGGTCCCAAGGTGAGTGTGTCCCTCCCTGTCCTGTGTCTCCCTCCGGTGGGTGGGGCCCAGGGGCTCTGGGAGCTCCTCCTTTAGGAATTGTCTTTGTCAATTTGACTTAGCAATAAATGTCTTCAAGTTCCATCCATATTTTTTTAAATGACATGATTTAACTTATTTTAAAAAAAGTCTGTGGGCCTCCCTGGTGGCGCAAGAGGTTAAGTCTCAGCATTATCAAGCTATCATCAGCCACTGTAACAGGAGTTCGATCCCTGGCCAGGGAGCTACACACCTGGCTCAGCAGACCTCTCCTGATTCACCTGCTGCTCCACTCAGCAGTGTATTTCAGTCAGTCTGCCTGTTCTGTTCCCCATTCTGTCTCTGGTGATTCCTCTCAGCCCTCCACCCCCGCACCTCGGGCTTACATCCCACCTCTTGTATGTACACATAAATAACATAAATCTTTAAAAAAATCTTAGTACTATATTTTTATGTGTGTTTGTGTTTGCGTAATTTTGCTCTATTTCTTTCAATGTATCTCTGTTCCTGTCTCTCTCTTCAAATGGTGGAATATCCACTATGCTTCTGTTGCTTTCCTCATAGAGTTGGTTAGTTCTTCCAGTTTTTTTTTTTAATTTTTCTCTTTTTTCTTCTAGTTCAGTCCATTATTCTTTATTAGTGTGGGGTCACTGATTTGATTTTCTCTTTGGTCTATTCCGCTCCAATAGCTTCTCCAGGAGTGAGTAACTTCTCTGCTGATCTTTTTACAGTCCTCATCTCTATGATGTTAATTTAAGGCTTCAATTTCTATTTTCTTTTCACTGATTTTATTTTCCAAGTCATTCATTTATTGTTCTGAATTTTGTTTTATCTTTTTTGATTCACTTTTCTGTGTTTTCTCCATCTCCTTGACTTTCTTTTTCTTTTTTTTAAGGATTTATTTATTTATTTGTTTGTTTGTTTGTTTATTTATTTATTTATACAAGCACTGGGGACAGTCAGAAGCACGAGAGGGTGAGAGAATTCACCAGAGACAGAGTGGGGAGCAGAGCAGGCAGAAGGACTGAAGTACACTGCTGAGGGGAGCAGCGGGCAGCAGGAGAGGTCTGCGCACCATGTGGGACCCTCCTCTGGTGGCAGAAAGCAGCCAGGGATGGAACCTGCACCGCAGGGCTGCGGGCAGCTTCGCAACCCAGCGCTCAACCGCTGCACCACCGGGGAGGCCCACTTCTGCCCATTTTTTGACAGGGTTATGTTCTTTATTGTTGTTGAGTCTCATCAGCTCTTTGCAGATTTTTGTGATCAGTCCTTTATCATTAGTGTTCGGTGCAAAAATGTTCTCCCAGTTGGTGGGGTTTCTCTTTGTTTTTGTTATCTGTCTCTTTTGCTGTGCAGAAGCTCTTTAATTTGATGTAGTCCCAGCTGTTTATCTTTGCCTTCACCATCACTGCTTGGGGTGATGTGTCTGTAAAGATGTCTTTGATGTGCATATCACGTAGTGTTTCGCCTTTATTTCCTTCTATGTATTTTATGGTTTCAGGTCTTATGTCTAGTTCTTCAATCCATTTTGAGTTGATTTTTGTGTATGGTGTGAGGTAGTGGTCAAGCTTCATTCTTTTGCATGTAGCAACCCAGTTTTCCCAGCACCATTTATTGAACAAACTTTCTTTGCTCCAATGCATAGTCTTTGCTCCTTTGATCCTTGACTCTCTTTATTATGGCAATTTGAACTCTACCTGATAGTAAGATACGATCATCCATATCTTTGTAGTTGCATATTGCAGAGTTGGTCTCATCTTGTGATATCATGTTCCCTTGAGATCTCAAGTTTCTGAGGCTTATTTTGCTGCTTTACATTTCCTATTTTTCAAAAAATGCATCTGTAGTGGTAACTTAGAGAGTTCAACTACTTGTGCTTTCCATCAGGTGACCATGTTATTTTTTTAAGACTTGTAATTTATGCAGAACTAGAGACCTGATCCTTGAGATGCTGACTCAGAGACTGTGGGGCCTGCAGTCATCCAGCCTCTAGGGTGGGTGCTCTGGCTGGGGCGCGTGAGCTCATGTTTGTGGCTCCCCTGCCACCCGCCTCTCTCAGTTCAGCCCTGAGACTCTCCCTGTGCACACTGTCCCTGAGCTTCAGGAGGGCAGGGCCAGTCCTGAGAGAGTAGTGGGGGTGCATCCAGCTCTGTGCCTTGTTTCTTCACTGGGAACCTTGTTAGCTGGGAGCCCCCATCAGAGCTGTGAACCCCTCACTGTCAGCTCTCCCTGCCCAGGGTCACGTGCCTGTTTGAGTGACCACCACAGCATGTGCTGAGCCTCCTCCATTCTGACCACAGCCTCCAGGTGTCTCTCTATGCCTACCTCTTGCTCAGTGAAGCATGACTCTCCTCTGTGTCCCTTTTGGTGCTGTCTGCCTGGTGACTGCTGTATGAGAGTGTCCAGTTTTGTCGCAAGCCTGGTGTTCTCTGGCTGCCCTGTTCACTCATTCGCATTGATGATCCTCTGTGCAATGAAACAGATTTCTCAGGCACCTTCTTAGTACCCCAAGAACTCTTTTGAAATGCACATTCTTGGGTACATCCCAATCTGCTGCATCAGGCCTGAGGTAGGGTCCTGGCATTTTACAATTACAAGCCCTCCTGATGATAGTGATGGTCAAGGTGAGAACCAGGGAGTTAGCATTTTTTATGGAAGGTCCTGCTATCAGGTACACTAGTGAGTGAGGGAGCATCTTTGACATTATTTCTGGACCACAAGTTGTGGTTGGAAGATCTTTCCCAGATTCAGAATTGTCACTGCTAATCCTTCATTTCAGCTGTCTGCTCATCAGACACCTTCCCTCAGTCTTCCTGGGCCTCCCCCAGTGATGGTGTGTGTTCCCTGATATGACTGTGTCTCTCAGCCTTTCTAACTCCCATGTCTGTGTTCACAGAGAGGTTCCGTGTGTTTGGCCCCCCAGACCCCATTGTGGCAGAGCTGGGTGAGGATGCCACACTGCCCTGCTCCCTGGACCCAGTCATGAGTGCAGAGAAAATGGAGTTGAGGTGGTTCCGGTCCAGTACCTTCGAGTCAGTGTTCACCTATCAAGACGGACAGGAACGACATGAGATGCTAATGGCCCAGTACGCAGGGCGGACCTCGCTGGTGGGGGAATTCCTCCGTGTGGGGAAAGCTGCTGTGATCATCCACGAGGTCCAGGCTGCTGACAATGGGCTGTACACCTGCTTCTTCAGCAACGGAGTGTTCCATGAGCAAGCCAGCTTGGAGTTGCAGGTGGCAGGTTGGTGACATGTTAAATATCTCAGAGTCCTGGAGTTCTGGAATTGGGGAGAAAATAAGGGCAATGCAATTTAGTTTTTCATGTTATTTATGAGTAAGAAAAGGCTTATTCATTCATGTTTTATGAAATGTAAATATCCAGGGTCCCTACCACATGTCTGGCCCTATTCTAAACTCTTAAATATAAAAGCAAATCTAATAAAGTTCTTTACTCTGTGAGTTTATATTTGTAGTGGGAGAGGGAACAGTCATAATAAATAACCAGGGCATAAATGACTTTCAAAGTGAGAAGGGATGAGGACAGGAAGCTAAATGGAGCAGGGAATTGGGTGAGAAATGTGGGGCTGGGGCTGAGGGGAGGTTCCAGTAATAAACAGTAGCTCAGGCTGGGGCCGTAGGAGCAAAGACTCCAGGGAAGTGGGAATACAGCTGAGTAGATATCAGATGTGTGGGGGTTCCTTTCTCCCCAGTATATAGACAGATAATTACTATATATTATATGTAATGTGAGGCATACAGCATAATGACTCATTTATATATACAGTTTATTGATTTCCACAATAGGTTAAATCACATCTGTCAGCTATTATAGGTTTCATAAAAAGAAAGAAAATGAAGCAAAAGGGAAAATTTCCTCACTGTGAAAAAAATTCTTTGGAGTTTGTCTTTTAACAACTTCCCTACATGTCACACAGCAATGTTGGCTACAGGCATGTTGTACATCACAGGGAAGGGAATTTCTACTTGTAGGCACAGCCCGTGTGAATGACCTGGGGGGAGCGTGTGTTTGGTGTGTGATCTGCTCACATGGAGTCCTCATGGCTGGTAGGAGAGAGTGAGGGGCAGGGTGTTGTGAGGTGACAAACTCTCATAAAAAAATGTGAGCGCATGTCAGAGAGGTCAAGGGTGGCTGATGAATGCTCCCAAAGGTAATCGTAAAAACCTCCATAGGATGTAGATATTTGAGCTGGGACATCATTTTATCTAACAGGGTCTATAAAGCCCTCAGATCAGATGCAGAAGGGAAGGTGGAGTCCACAGGGCCTGGTGATTGTGGGCAACAGCAGTTAGATTCTTTAGTTTGGGGTGCTGCGCCTTGGGGGCACAGGTATAAAAGTGTGAGCACTGCAGAGAGAAGAGGCTGGGGAGGAGTCACAGATGAGGAGTCCTGGTGCGCATGTTGTGGTGTTTGCATGTGGAGCTGTTGGAGATTTTCAGCACAGCAGCGCTTAGCATGTGACTCTGGCATCAGTGGGGAGGACAAGGGCGGGGACAGTATCTGGAGTTGTGGCTGCAGTTACGGGGTGGAGGGGGGGCTGGTTCACACAGTGGCGGTGGATGCTCAGGAGGTGCCCTCAGTGAGGTTCAGAAATAACCCAACTGAATGGGGAGAATTGGGTCACAGAATTTAAAGTGGAAGAAGGGATTGCAGAGTCTGTGTGATATTTAATGTCAGGAGCATTAATAATGTGTATCACTTGCCTGTCACCGTAGTGCTGCTGTGTAACAGAACCACAGAAAAAATCTCTCAGTGGCCTCAGTGGACTTGTATTCATAGGCTGGAGGGGACTTCAGCTAACCTGGCATGGACTTGACTACTCTCCACTGAACTTCCTCCTACATTGTTTGGTCAGATGAAAATGTCATCAAGTGGACTTTGGCTGGGCTTGTAGCATGAATGCTCATGGGCTCCTGGCTGGGGAGCGTGACCTGTTCCATCCTGGCTGAGGGAGGAGCTTCAGGGGGAAAGGCTGGTGGCAGACCCTGTTCTGCCTGAACTACAGTGTCCTTCTATGGAGATGGCAGAGGGAAGACCCAAGGGGCCAGCACTTTAAACCTCTGCTGAGTCACATGAGCTGATCTCTCCTTAGACACATGAAGTCACATGACTGATCCCAGAGTCAGAGTGAGAGTAAAATGTACATGGCAGAGTGTGAGCCTGATATGAAAAAGGATGAAGAATTAGGAACATTTTTTTTTTTTTTTTTTTGCTAATTTACCTCAGATGAGACAACAGCATGAGTTCAGGTGTAGAATTTAGGATGTGAAGAGCATGTGAGGAATCCTGGCAGATGTAACCCACAGGGATGGGGCTATCAGGGAGGGACATGAGGAGGCTGGTGAGGTGATATCTGAAAGTGATGCATGAGGAGACACAGGAGCTGAGGGGGAAGAAGCCCTGGGAGAGGGTGTGAGATAAGATGGGGCTTTAAGAACTGGACCCTGGGACTGCGCTGCCTTCAGGGAGCAGGTGCAGGGAGAAAAGTCAGGAAAGGGGCTCAGCAGGGGTCCAAGTTACAACAAGCCACCCTCAGAGGGAAGTGACCAACCCAAGATGGAGGTGGTTTCAAGATGAGGTCAGGAGTGTCCTGAATGAAGGGAGACTGGGTGAGAGGACCTTGGAGACCTGGGTGGACAAAGGGAGACTTTTGTTGAATCACCCAGAACAGAATGGACTAGAAGGATAAGTTGCACTATGGAGGCTGAGATGTTGGTGAGAAATGAGAAAATACAGTTGTTTATGGATTATAAGGTGTACTCTTTAACAAGAAAAGAATTCTATAAAGATTTGAAACATGTTTATATCATTATAAAAATAATAGGTAGAAAGGTAGAGATGAACATATCTTGTCATTGTCTTGGTCTAGGTCTCTCCCAGACTTCTCAGAGTGCACCTTGACAGCCTCACCTGGAGGTGTGCACATGTGGGCCTGCCCCACCTGTCTCTCATCTTCTCTCTGCAGTTGTGGGCTCTGCCCCCAAGTGCACATCACGGGGCCAGAGGAGGATGGGGTACGCGTGGTGTGCACGGCCTCGGGCTGGTTCCCAGAGCCTCAGGTGCAGTGGAGACAGCCCCGTGGGGAGCAGTTCCTGGAGTTCTCCAAGGTCCAGGCACAGGACACTGAGGGCCTGTTCAGTGTGGAGGCCGCTCTGGTGGTGAGAGACAGCTCTGCGGGGAGCGTGACCTGTTCCATCCTCAACCCTGTCCTGGGTCAGGAGAAGGTCATGGCCATTGTCATCCCAGGTCAGCACATCTCCCTCTTCCCCATTCCCTGCAGGGGCGGGGGCCAGCACCCCCCGGGTACTGGGCTGGGATGTCTTGGGCTGTGTCCTGATGGGGTCTCTGTGGGGTCTCTTTCTGCAGAGCCCTTCTTCCCCCGGGCCTCTCCCTGGAAGCCGGCTTTCCTGGTGATCCTGCCCTTGCTGCTGCTCCTGCTCCTGGGGGCTGCCTGCTACACCCAGAGAGAACATTCCACACAGATGCGGGAGCTGCAGGAACAGATGAATCTGTGTGGGGCTAAGGAGAAGGACAGACAGGCCAAGGAGGAGGCCTTGACGGACACAGGTAGGGCAGGACAGGGGCCAGGCTGGTGAGTGTGGCGGTGGGTGCTGAGAGGGACAAGCTGACACCAGAGCCAGAGCCCAGGGTCCCTCTGCAGGGAGATCAGAGCAGGTGCTGAGTCCCAGAGGAGACAGTGGAGCTTGGAGGCTCATGTTGGTCTGACGGTAGAAATTCTAGGACACAGAGAGTTTCATTTTTGTTTCTTCTCTAGGCACAAATTTTGTTCTTAGCAACAGTTTATGCTTATATTTTTCATTCTCTTTCAGAGGAACTCCAGGCAATTCTAGGTAAGCTCTGCTCTCCCTCCTGAACTCTCTGTGCCCCCTTCATAGGAGACATTCTGGTTCTTAGCTCACCTGTGTCCTGTGTTGCCTTTCAGGCCAGAGGAAGGCAGCTTACCTGGCTGGTGAGTGATGCCCCAGGGTCCTGTGTCCCTGTCCCCTGTGCTCAGGGGTCCCTCCCCTTGGCTGTCTAAGCACAGACATGTGGACCATTCCCTGCGGTGGAAGTGGGAGCTGGTAGGAGGCAGGACTCTGTTGCATGGGGTCTCCAGATCTGGGTGCTGTTTTCCCCCCATTCTTGGGATCCTGGGGGGTGGTGACCCTTGGAGTCTCCTGCATCCTGGTCTCATTCCAGCCCTGACTTTCCCACCATGGTGCTGGCTTTCTAGTCCTCAGTGCATCTGGTTCTTGGTCAGCACCTGGAAGTAAAGCAGCTGCTCCGGGATTTTATAAGTAAATGGACTCTTGAAGTTTAGGAGTGTGACCTCCTCCTGCCCTTTCTCCCCAAACAACCCAAGGAAAGTCTGTGCTCTCTACTCCTGAAGTTGCTGATCAGTAGTGCTGGGAGAGGTCGGGGTGACCTTGCATGGATGGGAGTGGGGGGACTTTCCTCTCCCAGTATTACTAGAAATACTGCATTGGAGGAAGATGGGCCATTTCTACTCTGGAGCTGGTTGATGTCCATGTCGTGTTTTTATTTCATCTTCCCATTAATTTCCAAGGAAATACTGAATGTAATAATTATGGAGTAATATGTACATTAAAAAATATCTTCCCACGGGCCTCCCCTGGTGGTGCAGCAGTTGAGGACTAGGCTGCGAAGCTGCCTGCAGCCTCTGCAGCGCCAGTTCCATCCCTGGTCGCTGGGAGGGTCCCACATGGTGTGCAGACCTCTCCTGCTGCACCCGCTGCTCCCTTCAGCAGTGTACTTTGTCAGTCTGCCTGTTCTGTTCCCCACTCTCACTCTGATTTATTCTCTCACCCTCCTGCGCTTCTGACTGTACCCAGTGCTTGTATAAATAAATAAATTTTAAAGATTTGAATAAATCTTTAAAAAAAAAGCTTGCCATATACTGTTTTTGATCCTGTGAGTAACACTGAGCAGCAAGTGAAGCACGACCTTTGAAGTCTTTGAAGCCCAGAGCTGCTCAGTGACTTGCCCAAAACCCCACAGCAGCATCAGGCAGGGCTGGGTCAGTCTGTCCTGCAGGCTCCTGACCTGAGCCAGGGGATTCCCCACCACCCCCTGCTGTCTGCTGGGAGCAGGAGGTCATAACCTCTCCAGGCCTCCCCTCCATCCCCTAGAGAGTCTCACCTGCAGAACAGGGGATGGTCAGGGCCCCTGGATCACAAGAGCAGCTGGTTGTGCTGAGGTCTCACCTGTGTGTTTCCTTTCAGCCTGGAGGAAGGCCCAGCTGTATGCAGGTGAGTGGTCCTGAGAGTCCTGGGATCCCCTCCCATCCTGTCCTCCACTACTTCTCTATAGGGACCTCCCACCAGGAAGGACCTGGGGTCCCTGGTCTTCCCTCACTCTGGAGCCTCTATCTGAGAACTGCAGTGCCCCCAACCCTTGTGATCACGGACGTGCCTCCACCTGCCTTGTCCTCCCTACATATCATGTGGGGTCAGGACAGTCTCTGACCCCTTGTCACCTGGTCCTTTCTTGTGGGTAAGGGCATTGGGTGTCAGTGTGAGGAGAGGCTGCAGCAGGGACAAGTGTGTGGTCCAGGATTTGCTGATCACTCGAAAATTCCAGATTACTATTTCTTAGTCAGGTCTTGCTAAGGGGTCCTGGGTTATGGATCCTTCTGGATCCCAAATTCCAGTCCTATTTTGGATCTAGTTTTTGTTTCCTGCTTCCTCTTGATTGTCTGTCTTCTCATGCATGCTCTGATTCATGTCCAAGCTGGATTTTTCTTCTAATCCCTTGTAGTTTCTGAGGAATCAGTTGTTTAGAGCTGGTGTCTGAGTCTGGGTCAGAGCTTCTGGGGTGTTTATGGCTCTTGGGTAGAGGCCTGTCAAAGGTCTGAAATTTGATGTAAAATCCTGTGTGTGTGTGGTGTGTGTATGTGTTTGTGTGTATTTTTTTGTGTCTTTATAACAAGATAAACAATGTATGATTTTTCAAGACCATCATCTTTTTAAGGAGAATTCTGTCTGACATTCTCATGGTTGCTATTAAGTGGGTTTTTTTCATTTTCTTCTTTAAATTTATTTTATATATTTTTACATCATTTTTCATTTTTGCACAGTGTATGCATTTTCATCTTGGTTATAGTCCCCATACAATTCCCGCCCCTCTTATTCCCTTATTTTGACCCGAATCCCTCCTCCCCTGTAGTGTGTAGGGTTTTTTTTTAAAGAGGTAACTAAGTAAATGGTTATAATCAATTTCCAAAGAACAGGGGGGAAATTTGAAAGAAAAGTCTAGATGGAGATAGAGAGGGGAAGGAAGGAGAGGGGTGTGTGGGAGAAGAGCCTTCTAGAGTTTTGGGCACAGTCACCAGTTTGAATCTGTGCTGTGCAGACACTGTGCAAGGCTTGGGAATGAAACACAGTGGGCCTTTTGAAGTACTTCAGATAAAGTTACACTTTAAAAACCATTATCGAGGTGACCATCTAATTTTGTTGCTTCTCACATGAGCTCCCCCTGTAACCCCAGGGCAGGGTCTGCACAGAGTCCTGCAGGGAAAGTCAGAGATGCTGGTGGAGGAAGATCTGAGCCTTGTGAGCCTGAGTCACACGCCCTTTCCCTGCTCAGGGATTTGTTTATGGTCCTGGACACAGACCCTGAGCCAAGAGAGAGGGTTTGTAGGGGAGGGGTCTCGGGATCAGGAGTGTGAGGACCCTCCTGAGAGTCTCCCTGGTTCCCCTGGGGCTCATTTCCACACAGTGAGGATCATAGCATCGTCTTTACCATCATTTCAGTGTCTGCTGAGTTCATGTCTCATGCATTTTAACAAACTTTCCTTGGGCATGCAAAAAGAATGATGTGTTTGAATGAAGCACCATTAATACACTAGAATTAACATTTTGATATCAAAAGAGTCACAGATAGATACATGTGTGATCTAGTATTAATTATAAAATTAGAAAAAAAAGCATTTTTACTTAAAGTTTTGCTACAAAAATGAACTGACTAGCGCAGTCAGTGCACACACAGTCCTGGGTGCGCTGTGTCTCACATTAAATGTCACTTTGATTTTCTCTTTTTGTTCCTCTGCTCCTGTTCCTGTTCTCCTCCACACCCTCTTTTTCACTGTTTATGAAGAAGTATATTGTAGAGCGTTAGAGCTGGATGTCAGCTAGTGTCTAGCAAAAATAAGTCAATTTAAAATCTCCTTTTTTCACAAAGAGGTCACATATATGCCACCCAATCATTGCATGTGATCTTGTTTCTTATCAAGCAAAGATGGAAATGCCAGTTTCTCAGATGTGAGCTTGTGCAGGTGTGGCTGGTGTCACACATTTATACACCATGTGCACAAGAAGATGTTGTTCCTTATTCCTATAGATGTGGATCCCGGATTCTCCTCTCTCCCCCTCTCTCCTCACACGGTTGGGAAACTCACGCTCTCCCCTCACGGCCTCAGAGTCTTGCTGTGTCTGACCTGAGTGTTGGGGAATGACCTGCTTCCTCCTTCCCAGGCAGGTGTGGGGTGGGGATGACATGGCCTTGGAGTGCTGGGGGGGAGGGGCCTATTCTCCCCTTTCAGTCATTTCAAGGGCTCCCCTGGGACCACTGGTCTATGATCCTGTGTGGCACATGCTGAGAGGGGCAGGGCGCATCCTGTCTGGTCATTAGGGCTTGTGGGTGACCCTCCCTCTACAGCAGAATCAGGGTCTGGTTCTGTCTCTGGTCAGCAAATTGATGAACCTTCTGGCTCCTTCCTCCTGTCCCATGTCCTTGTCTTCCTCACCTGTCCTTCCCTCCCTGCCTGCTCTCCAGGCCTCACTCTCTCCCTCCTTCTCCCCCCAGAGCAGGTGACACTCCTGGGTCCTCATCTCTTCACGTGCATCATGGGGTCCGGGTGCTCCCTCCAGACCCTCCCCTGCCAGGGCCCTGCTCACCTGCCTGGGCCCCCACATGGGGCATCAAGCTCCAGCTGCTGCTGACACACGTCACCACACCCTGAGCAGCATCACCCACGCAGTTTATCATCTCACACGCCTGCAGGGAAGACACCTGAGAATACGTCCTGGGACTAACTCCAGGGTCTGGCAGCTCCTTCCTTCCAGGAGCCCCTTCCTCTCCCAGGATCTAGGGCCTCCTGCACTGACTGGGGAACCCCATCCTCTGTCTACACAGCCTGCCCTGCAGCCTCTTTGTGGCCCTGCTGCCGTCACCATGTGACTGTCTCTGTGCACAGGTGCAGGGTCATGGCTGTTAAGGCTCATGTGATTGGTTCTACGTGGTGATCCACAGTAACATCCCTGTTTCCAGGTCCCGTCTCTGTCCACCTGAAGGTTTCTCTTTCCTCTGTAAAGGACACATGTTTACAGAGTCATGGGATGAGGACATGGACATCTTTGAAATCATTATTCTGCTTATACAGGGAGGTTTTACTTTGAAGCTTCCATCTTTCTGGGCTCCTCTTGAAGGAAACAGTGTGTCAATCCAATGTGTTTGTGTTCTTCTCTGTCTACAGGGATGGTTTTGTCTCCACCACACATGAAAATGTGGAAAATTGTCACTAGTGTTTGATCCTCTCAGTGTGTGTCCATGTCCCCTACTCTGCACGTCTATCTCCTCCTAGAACCCTCTCGACCCCCTCCTGAGTGGGCAGGACCCTCTGCTGAGTGCCCTGAGTCTCCTCATTCATGTCACAGTCACCCCCATGTGCAGCTCAATTACCTTTTTTCACTCTCTCTCTCTCTCTGTCTGTCTCCCCTTGTTGGACAAACAGATTTATTCACAATCAGAGGGAAAAGCTCTGCCCACCAGCCCCCATGTCTCCAGGCCTCCAGAGGCCTTTCCTGTCCCAGCAAGCGGGAGCATCAGGCCGCACACAGGCCTGGGCTGGTTGTAGCTCTAAGACCAGGTCTGTTAGTTCTTCACAAGCACACGCAGTCCTGGGCATTTCATCTCCATAGAACCTGTTCAAGAAAACCTAGTTTCCAGGATGCATGTGTGGCTGGTGGCTGAAAAGTATAATTTGATGGTCATATCTGGGTGAAGACATTTCTGTTCCATTGGTGGTCAGCCTGCACCCCTGAGTATTAAGCTTTATGTCTGAATTATGGGGAATTTGCCACATAACAATTGTGTGTGTGTGTGTATGAATCTAAAAGTTGAAATATCAACTAAATGTTTCCAAATATTTTCCCCTGTGAACTGTGTCACTGTCTTGTAGAAAACTAGGAGTTGACCCTGATGTGTGAGTATCTAGAGTCCCTCACATGACATGTGTGTCTCTTGCAGATTGGAGGAAGGAGAAGTTCCGGGCCTGTGAGTGACTCTGTTCTCTCTGGGGCTGCTCAGCTTCTGGCCTTTCCTTCTGTTCTCTGTGTGGGCACAGACTCTGCACCCTCCGTGGGGGTGGGGTGGGTGCTGCTGTGATGTCACACAGCTGTATTGGGAGGGGGTGACTGCTCATGAGTGCTGAAGGGGCTCCTTTGTCCTTGGGGTCCAGGCAGGTCCCCAGGGGTCCTGTGACATATTTGACCCCCAATTATCTTGTGGCTCCTTCTCTTGCTTGGGGGCTATGGGCTGGGGTCACCAGGCTCTCATTTCAGGGAACATATCCTTCTCCCCATAAAGCTGAGTATCTGGGGTGAGGAGGTGTGTGCCCTTGTTATGTCAGGCTGGCACATGGGTTCTCTCTCTGCAGGGCCTGTCACTCTGGATCCAGGTTTTTGCAGTCATGGAATTGTCCTCTCTCATGACAAGAAGAGTCTGACCTGTTATCATGAAGGAATAGAAGGAGGATACAGAGTTTGGGGTATTGAGGGCATCACATCAGGCCGCTGTTACTGGGAAGTAGAGGTCAGGAGTTCAGACAGAACTGTGTGGGCACTGGGGGTCTGGACAAAAGATGAGGAAAATAGAAACGGTGCTGTGTCCCCACTGAAAAGGAAATGGGTTATTGGCCGGAACCATAATATTTTCAAAGCCAGTACTGACCTTCCTATTCTACTACCCCTTAGGCGGGTTCCCCACAGGGTGGGGGTTTTCCTGGACTATGATCATGGGGATGTCTCCTTCTATGACATGACTGATGGCTCCCACATCTTCTCCTTCCCTCCTGAGTCCTTCTCTGGGACCCTCTTTCCATATTTTGTCTGCCATTTAGGAGACGTGTCCCTCACCTTTTGCCCCCTGGAGGCTGGGCCCCAGAAGCCCTCTGTGCCCATGAACAATCCTCCTTCTCTGAAGGAGCCTGTAAGTCCCCCAGGGGAGGGGATCCCCTTAGGCTCTGGTGTGGATGGGGCTCCCCCAGGGCCTGAAGGCCCCCTCTTCCCCTGCACCCCAAAGACTGTGTCCCCATGAGCCCCCTCCCTGCCCAGTCCTGCCCTGAGCTCTTCTTGGGACTGCAGGTTCCCTGTGGACAAACCTGTGAGTGAGTCCCAGATGCTGGAGTCTTGTCCTCCTGCTCTGGGTGCAGATTCCTGGGCCGTGGCTGAGAGAACAGTCAGGTCAGGGCTTGTGCTGAGACATAACTTTGAACCTGTTTAGGGTAGAACTAGTTTTTCCATGGGAAAAATTTATTTGGTAAAGAAAATATTTACTAGGGATTTTATGCTGTTAGGGCAAGAAAGGGGATGAGCTCTGAATGATTCTCCTAAATTAACTGGAGTTTACTTAATCCAACCTGGCTTTGTTTGGAGGAAACTAGAGCCTGATGGAGGGTCCCCAGATCTATTTTTAGGGGTCTGGACTATCTGACCAGGAAAATTCTGCCTCCAAAATATTTGGGGGAAAGGCAGATGATAGACTTTAGAGGAGCCTAATATTCTGTTATCTGCTTCCTACACTTGAATGGTTGAAATACACTTAATTTTATCAAACCTGATGAATTTCTATGACCAGTGGTTAACTTGGGGTGTGTTAATTTGGTGACCTCAGGAGAAGGATCTGGTTCCTCTTTTGTGTCAAACCATTTGTAAAGAAAAGAACAGCTCCCTGAATTAAGATGAGAATAAAAAGGAGACTTTCAGACTCGGGGTGACTTGGGGAACTGGAATTTGAGTTCTACAGACCCCTGTGCTGACTCGGTCACGGGAACCACAGCTGCCAGAAGAAGCAGGATCCTGAGCCCCAGACCTGCAGGGAGGAAGGTGTGATCCCTCCCTCAGGGGACACTGACATGGTTCTGGTGGGAGGAGAAGACAGAGAAGGGGGAGTAGGGGAGTCAGATGTCATAAACCTGTGTGACTGTAAAGAGATTGTAACAGTTTTAACAATTTTCTCTTGTGTGTGTTAATTTGTATTTATTACCCATTGTCTTCATTTGTCATCTTCCCTTGTGCTTTTATACAAGTTGATGTAGTTTATGTTTATAATATAGTTTTGGGTAACAGAATAGATAAAGGGGCCTCCTCGTGGTGCCAGGACTTAAGCTCAGCACTATGAAGCTATGTGTAGCCACTGCAGCCAACTACTGTCCCAAACCAGGGAGCTACCTGCATGGCACAGCAGACCTCTCCTGTTTTGCCTGCTGCTCCCCTAGGCAGTGTATTTCAGTCAATCTGCCTGTTCTGTTCCCCACTCTGTCTCTGGTGAATCTGCACCTCTGGCCTGTATTCCAGTTCTTGTATGCATACATAAATAAATCTTTTAAAAAAAAACCAGAATAGATAAAGTTATTGTGAGTAAATTTGTAAAAAACCTAACATGGCATGTTAGATACAAAATTGGGACTGTCTGTCCCCTCATTTTGGGACAAGGTGAGCAATTCTTCACTTGTAAAGGAAACTTTCTCTTCATATTTAAAAATAAGCCATGTATACATTGTGAGTGTGGGGCTGAGGAGTCAAATGCATGGACTCTCCCATCACCCATTTACTGCCGTGGCTGTGAGAAAAGTCAGGCCAGGCCTTATGCTGAGGCCAGAGATGGTGAAATTGACTGACCTGAACCTGTTTGGGGTAGGAAGAATGTTACCATGGGAGATCATTTTTCTTTTCATAAAGAAAATATTTCGAGGGGTTTAGATACTGTTTGGACAAGGAAGGGGATGAGCTATGAATTCCGGTCCTAAAGTAGCTGGAGTTTATCCAACTTGAGCTTGTGCTGAGGAATCCAGATGCTGAAGATTACCTTATGTTTATGATGTATTTTGGGGTAACAGATAAACAATTGAATTGTGACTGAAGTTGAGAAATAAGCAATATAGATACAAAGATTGGTGTTGCCTGTTTCGGAGACGTGTAAAGGGAGCTTCTCTTGGTAGTTAAAAACATACAATTGTGCTGTGTGGTTGTTCAGTGTAAGGAGCTGAGTAGTCACAGATATATACTGTGTCCATCACCCATATATCGCTTCCTGGCCCACATCCCCCCACGTGCCCTCCTGTGTGACCTGGAGCTGGACCCCAGGAGCGTGTCTCTTTGCTCCCTGCACAGTGTCAGGATGAGCCCTGGAGGGGACACTCCAGTCACAGCCAAGGACATGTATCTCTTCTGGTTGAGCTGCTTTTCTTCTGAATCTGTGATGGGATATTTGTCACTTTTAGGAATTACCCTCAGCCACTATCCATGAAATTTTTCCTTCTATTGTTCTGAAAAACTATTAAAAACTGATAAATAAGTAAGCTGTGTGTGTCATGTCTTTTGATCTAATGGGACATTACAGAGATTTTGTAATTAGATTCAAATTTATGTAACTATTTAGAAAATGCACAAGGTTTGACTTGGGTTTTTATCATTAATTAAGGATGTGTTTGCCGTGGAGTCACATGCTGTCTGTAAAACAAAAAAGAGAATTCCAAAGACTATAATTTTTTTATCTATAGATATTACCACTTTTGTTCTTTCTTAGAATATTTTATTTTAAGTTGCTTTCATGCTGGAAATAAAGGATCTATTCCTCAAAATCCTCTTATTAGCATGTTGCAATAATACCAGTGCTGTCACTGATTAATTAATAATATTAATTATTATATACTGTCTTGCTGCGAACCCGCCACAGCAGCCTGGGTGTCAGGGTTCCTTGAAGGATGGGACGGCGTCGGCAAAATCAAGAGGAAAGTGGGAAGGGAAAAGGAGTGAGGAGACGCAGACACTCGGTCAGGTGCAGGCATCGTCCTTCAAGGAACCCTGACACCCAGGCTGCTGCGGCGGGCTTGCAGCAGGTGGTTCCTGAACAGGGACTTGACAGGTAAGTCATTTTTGTGCTCAGTTTTCAGGGATCAGCTAGGATCTGCTCAAGGGTAACCGGAACCCCTCCGTAGAGGTAAGCGGAGTAAGGACGAGCAGAAATACAGAACTTTGAGAAGTTATGGGCCTTATTGAGTCTAAAGAAAGAAGACTCTTTATAGACATTATTAAGTATACATTTAGTAAAAGAAGCATAAAAACCTCCCATGCTCAATTGACGTCCTTTTTAAACTTCGTAGAAACATGCTGTCTGTGGTTCCCGAGGGACGGACGGCACTCTTGATGTGCAGACATGGGCAAGGGCAGGAGAGGAAATGTCCACATATTATTCGACCTTTGGGCCTGAAAAGGTCCCTGTGGATGCCTTTTCTCTATGAGGACTGCTAAAAGACATGCTAGATCAAGGGTCTGAACTCCAAAAAATAAGTGCTAAGCTACAAGAAACACGATTTTTGACATCAGAAAAGGCAGAGGAAGTTAAAATAAAATAGTTGAACGACCAAGTTGAAAAAATTACGTTAAAGGAAGATGACCCAAAGTTAAAATACAAGGATCAGGAAAAATTAGTTAATGAGGTTCAAATAGATGCCTCGGACTTGTCCGAGGAAGAAGAAATAATATCTAAAAAAGCTGAAAAGGTTACATTTGAAAAGGCAACTGCTCCGCCCTATGAATCCCTGTCCCATAAGGGTAGGGACTCTATGATTGCTCTTGACTTAACCAATATTGTTAAAAAATATATGCAGGAAGTGGCCAAAAAAAGAGGCTTGACCAAAACAACCTTAGCTAACTGGAGCAATTGAGAGGCCTCCAGCACTCGCTCCCGCTTATAGAATGAGACAAAAGAGATTAAGTGAGGCAAAATTTGCCAGAGCTGTAAAGCGGGCAGAGAAGCAGGGAGACTTCACTCTCCAATGTTACCCTGTCCAGTATGCCAGTGATAAATATGATAATGCTCAATGGGAGCCCATCCCTTTTAAACTTTTAAAAGAATTAAAGCATTCCGTGTCCGCTTACGAACCTGCCTCTCATGTCTCCCAGATGCTCAATTCTATCTGACCCCGTCTCATTGGAACCAGACTGTAAAATCCGCTCTCCCTGGTGGTATGTACTTATTGTGGAAAGCAAATTATGAGTATGAGGCTGATAATTAGTGGAAGAACATAATAAGAGTAGTTCAGAAAGAAATCAGGTTGACATTGAGATGTTGATGGGAGAAGACGAGTGGGAGACTCCCCAAGATCAGGTGGCCCTACCTGTTGCAGCACTACGCCTTACACGTGATGCGTCACTAAAGCTTGGCATAAATTACCAACATCCGACCTAAAGACATCAGGCCTTGTTAATATTAAGCAGAGGCCGGAGGAACCCTATGAAGACTTTCTTCCCGATTGATGGATGCTGTCCGCAAGGCTGTCTCTAACAATGAAGCTGCTGAAATTTTAACTCAACAGCTAGCCTTTGATAATGCTGCTCCCCCATGTCAGGCCCTAATCCGACCTGTAAAAAAGACAGGTGATCTTAATGAATATGTTAGGGTATGCTGGGATGTTATCCACGCATATCTACAGGGGGTGGCTATAGCAGCTGCACTTAAAGGCCAGACTAGCTCACAATGGTTTTCGTCATTGAATCAGCTAAAATCGGCTCAAAATTACGGCAATAGTCTAAATTCTAATGCTTCCTGTTTTTCCTGTAGAGAGCCCAGGCATTTTAGCAAAAATTGCCCTAACAAAATTAACCCCTCATCACTAGCTGGAGTCCCTTCAAGACTTACGCTTCCAAGGACTCCATGCCCGCATTGCAATAAGGGCTTTCATTTGTGAAGAGATTGTAGATCCAAATTTCACCAGGATGGGTCTTTACTGCCACCTAATGACCAGCAATTAGCGGGTTCTTCCCCAGCAGCTCCGCCAAAAGAGACTTGGCAGTCGGGAAACTGGGTGCAGGGCCCAACCCAGGCCCCTCAAATAACAGGGGAATCCCTTCAGCAAGGCAGCGAACAATCTCAGATCTCGCCCGCGCCACCTCAAGCAATGCAAGCCTGGACTTGCGTTCCACCACCTCAGCAATATTGACTTCTGATCAATCATGTGTTGTAATCCCCACTGGAGTGTATGGGCCACTCCCGCCTAACACTGTTGGGCTTGTCATTGGCTGTAGCTCTATGTC